CCCCCCCCCCCCCCCCCCGTGTTAACAGCAATTTCCAGGGGGCCTAAAAAGGCTGCAGCCTCTGTGCTCCCTGAGCGCACAAAGCCAGCCTGCCATCCAGAACGCGTTCTCGGTACCAAAGCAGCCCCTTTTCAAGGGGATGAAGAAAGGCAGTTTCAATGTCCCAGTCAACGGTCAAATCTCAGAAAACCAACTTTTGATCCAAGGCTTCAGACCTTTCCCAAAGTTCTTAGGTTACATGCCAAAATTCTCTCAGGTAGACACGGGCTTGGCCGCCTCCATCACAAGTTCCTCTAGCTCTGGCCGCCTTGTCTTGCTGGGGTTTAGAAAAAGGGAAACAGAATGTGAAGTCTAGGAGCCAGGCGTTCGCCCACCCCACCCCCACTCCCCATTTCCTTCCCAACATCCCTTAAGAGAAGCTGGGACCTTAAGTGCAGGAACCAACTGCACTTGAGACCCTTGCTGGGGCAAGGGAAGAAGCGTCACACCCTTTTGAGCTCCCAGTAAGGCAGACTCCGGTTGGGAAGGGCCCAGAAACTTAGTCGCGAAAGGAAATGGAGAGAGAGGATTCCAGTCTTTGCTTGGGAAGCTGGAACGGGAAAGCTGAGAGATGGGGAATGAGGGAGGGAGCCGTGGACTCAGCTGGAAGAACTGGGGTCGCCCGAGAAGTCAGGACAGCTCTTAACACGTCCCAGCCAAACTGCACATTTTTGTGGTTTAAGATTTAAGACCAAAGGGAACACACTGAGGTTCTCCCCCGCTCGGGGCGCTTCTCCCCCGTCTGGGTTTCAGATGCCTCCTCCTCGCGGAGGGACCCCGGCGCCACTCTGCTGCCGGCCTCCTCTTTCTCTTTCGGGGGAGCTGTCCATCTGCCCAGCCGAGATGTCCACCCTCCAAGTTCGCCTGACCAAGTGCGGGCGCGGCGCCTGCGGCCAGCCACCTGCGCGCGTCTGCTGCAGACCCCGCAGGCCCAGAGCTGGGCGTCCAGGGGATGCTGCGCAGGGAGTCGGGGTCTGCTGGCTGGTTTTCATTCTTTAAACAAAAAGCCTTAGCTGCTAACCGCTCATTCGTCCCCGGCCAGCCACCTTCCCTTCACACCCACGGTGCACCTCCCGGCACACGCGCTGCGAGGTGCCGCTCCCGCCAGACAATGGGTTCGTGGCCGGCGGGGTAGTCCGGCCCAAGGCCCTCTCCCCATCCCAGGACCCGAAGAGAGCGCAAGGAGAGAGACCGAGAGAAGCGAGGCAGGGAGCCCACAATGGGGAAGGTGCGAGCGAGCCTCGCCCTCAGGACGGGAGGATTGGGTCCAGCTGCGCCGCCTGCCCCACCGGGGCCCCGCCGCGTACTCACCAGCACGATGGCAAAGCGCTCCTCCAGTTCACCTGGCTCGGGCATCGGCAGCTTCAATGGCACGTTGTGCGCCCTGAAATCGGTCTGCTGCGAGTCCATGCTCCCCGCGTTGCCCATGTCGGCTGCGTGCTGGAGCCCCGGCTGGCTCCCGGCACCTCGCGTCCGCGTCCGAAATGCCCACAGCCCCCGGCGCTCGGCTCCCGCCCTCTGCCGCGTCCCGGAGAGCGTTCCGCTCACACCGCTCCCTAGCAGAGGTCCGAGCCCAGCCGGTCCCCGGCTGCCCTCATGCTCCCCGCCGCCCCGGCGCCGCCCCGGCCTCTGTGCTTCGCGAGGGGTCTGCAGGGCGCCGGGCGCCGATCCGCATGGTGCTCCCGCCGGCCCCGCCGGCGCCCGCTGCCGCTAGCGCGCTCCTGCTCCTCGGCCTCAGCCCCGGACCGCAACCGCTCTAACACCTCAGCCCCGGCCCCAAGGCGAGCGGAGGATCGCGCACCGCGAGCCGACACAATGCCCCCTCTCGGCCCCCGCCCCCGGCCCGGCTCCTCCCACACGCCCCGCGGACTGCCGGGACACGTAGTTTCGGCCCAAACCGGCCACGCACAGAAACTGCTCGCGCTCCTGGAGGGCCGCGCTGTGGTTGGGCTGTTTGCAGCAAGGACCAGCTGGACGCGTGAAGTGGCTTTTGTCCCTTTTGACTTGACCTCCCTCGGTTTTAACTTTAAACCTCACCTCAGTTTAAAGATCTGCCTGGTCTGTGATAAATCTGAGTCTTCAGCACTTTTGAGAAATGATTGAATGGATCCAGTCAATCAGAAAACACATGATTTAAGTTTCAGAAGAGTATAACACTGTCAAAAGATATCAGTAAATAGGACACACACACATACACACAACACACGGTATATGCCCAACTTTATGAGCTGAGGGTGGAGGCGTGGTGCAGGTTCTTCGGTATCTATGTTGTATGTTCTTTGATGTGGTTGAATGTTTCCTAAACTAATGTGTAATTTATGTTATATGAAGTCAGGGGTATTTCTTAATCTCTGCTGTACATCAATCTCACTTGGGGAAATGGGTTAAAACGGCACATATCTTGAGTTCTGCCATGTATCTCCCTAAACTGAAAGATGGAGCCTGGGTAAGTGTAGGTACTAGTTTCCAGGTGACTTTGGTACGCAGCTTGGGCTATTACCATTCTGAAGGAAATGTCAAGAGTCAGGGCTTTTCCTTAGTAGCTTTGACTACCTGGGTCCATGGCCCCCCAGTGCTGAGATTGCTGAGGGATGATTTTTAGGGTAATTGCTTATCTTTGCCTTAGTTTCATCATCTGAAAAGAAAATCATAATGTCTGTGCCTCTCTTATAAGGTTGGGTGCAGTCTCACTAGAGCTGTGGTGTTCAGATAAAGAACTCAGAATAATAAGTATGGCTATATATTACTGCCATTATCATCATCCTTATCATCTATTCATCTCAGCACTTCCTATTTCTGCCTTCGTACTTGTGATGGATAATGTTATGTTGATTTTAGTTAAGTGGACTGGACTAAGGGCTGCCCAGAAAGCTGAGGGGGAAAGAACCATTATTCCCGGGTGTGCGCATTTCATTCAATCGTCTCAGGAAAGAAGTTCATCTTTGCCAACGCAGAAGGGCAGCACCCTTTCTTTGAGGTCACAAATAAAACAGGAAGTTTGTCCTCTGCTCTGTCTGGGACATCACCTATTACCTCTCTCAGGCATTATTAGTGCTCCTCCTTCTGGACCTTTGGACCTGAACCAAGACTTAGATCAGCGATACTTCTAGGTCTCAAGGCTTCTAATGCAAACTGGAACCCCATCACCAGCTTCCCTGACCTCTAGCTGTGGAGGCAGACCATGTGAGTGACTTCTCAGCCTTCAAAATCACATGAGACCCAGCACTCGGGAGGCAGAGGCAGGCGGATCTCTGGGAGTTCGAGGCCAGCCTGGTCTACAAGAGCTAGTTCCGGGACAGGCACCAAAGCTACAGAGAAACCCTGTCTCGGAAAAAAAAAATCACGTGAGACTATCTTTCACAACAAATCTCCATATATGTGTACATATATGTATATATAAAAATCTCTATACATATGTGTATACACACATATATGTATGTATGTGTATATATGTATGTATGTATATATATATATATATATAGAGAGAGAGAGAGAGAGAGAGAGAGAGAGAGAGAGGCAGAGAGAAAGAGAGAGACAGAAAGAGAGCAAAACACCTGGAAAGTAACCTCTGTAACTTTTGCCACAAACATATGGAAGAAATCCTCATAAATGTATTTAGTATGCTAAATGAACCACTTCTAATAATCTTTTCAATGTGTTTATGTTTATTATTTTGTCTGTCTATGTATTCAAACCCATACAGAAGTCAGAGGGCAACATTCAGGAGTGGGTTCTCTATTTCCAGCATACGGGTTCCAGAAATAGACGTCAACCAATCATGCTTGACCAGAGACAAGCGCCTTTGCCTCCAGCTCATCTCACGGCCTCTCTTCCCAAACACACACACTCCTGTTGTTTATATCTTATTATTATTACTTTATATGTATGAGTGTTTTGTCTGCACATGTGTATATGCACCACACACAGCCCTGGAGAGCTGGGTGGTCACAGAGGGTATCAGATCCCCTGGAATCTGGATCTACAAATGGTGATCCATCATGTGGAGGTTGGGAAGCAAACCCAAGGTACTCTGCAAGAATGACGAATGATCTTAACCAATAAACCAACTCTCCAGCCCAACTTGTAACTTTTTAAAAGAGATCATAAATAAATCAGCCTTTAAAGTCTCAACAAATGTGATCTGTATTTCTGAAGTATTGTCTCAAAGTCAAGGGCAAGCATGCTGTAAGAGAAGAAAACAAAAGTATAACTACAGACACCACACTAAAGAAAATGAGCAAGAAAGCAATTAGTCCAGACCAGGTGAGGCATTTCTCATGCACAAGTGTATTTATTTTATTTGAGATTTCTTGACATATATCCTCAGTCTGACTGACACGCAGACTCAGCCCACCCAGAGAGCTGCCCGTCTGGATGGAAAGGCTGGAATTTGTTTCTGCAGTCAAGAAATCCTTTTTATTTCATTTATGACTTCCTCTGGCCGTATTTCTGCCAGGGCCCAAGACCTTTCCCTCCTCCTCGGTCTTATCACATCTAGTCTCTCTCACAAGTTCTAACTCTGAGAGGAGCCAAGGACAAAGTGTGCACATCCGGGAGCCAAAAGGACTTTCTGCTGCTTTAAGGTTTGCCATCTCTAGCGTTTGCTTATTATTTATAACGTGTATTAAAAGCAATTCCAAACACCCCGTGGGTTTGTACAATTTGTGTGGAAATGCCCATCAGCTGCTCAGGAATTTTTGTTTAAGAATTGCATAAAGAATGCTTGCTTCGGTAGCACATATATACTAAAATTGGAAGGATACAGAGAAGAATTGCATAAAGAGAAAGGACTGTATTTGCATGCGTGTCCGTGAGTGCGTGTGTGCGTGCGTGCATGCGTGTGTGTGTGTGTGTGTGCGCGCGTGTGTACAGATGCCCTCAGAGGCCAGAAGAGGATGTCAGAACCCCTGGAACTGGAGCTACAGGTGTTTCTGAGCCACCTACCGAGGCTGCTGGGAAGTAAACTCCAGTGTGCTTACGACTACCAGAGTGCCACAGTGGACTCCAGTCCATCCAGACTGAGGCCAGAAAGAAGCTACCCATGCCACTTAAGTTATTCCTTTCATCTGTAAAGCAGAGGCTCACTCAGAAATACCAGGTAGCAAAGTGTCTGTGAGTCCTCATTCCCCATGCTTGATCACGTGACAGGCCTAGAAGCAGAAGACACTGGTGGAGAAAGATGAAACTCAGGCCAGAAACATTCCTCATCTGGAGAGCATTTGAAATTCTAACAGCGAGACTGGAGAGGGAATGGCAGGAAGGGCCAACACCCCCTCTTTCTAGACCCCTCCCCGTGGCTTGCATACTTTAAAAAAGAAGCTCAAATCTCTAGTGTTGCCAACAGCAAAGTGGATGCCGCTTCGAATTCTGCACATACTGAAGAGGATACTCGGAGGATGCTTTAGACAGCTTTCTCTAAATGTGGTCTAAATGTGAATTGGATGGATATATGGCACACACCTATGATCCCAGCCCTGGGGAGGTAAAGGCAGAAGGCTCAGGAGTTCAAGGTCATCCTCAGTTGTGCAGAATTGGAAACCAACAACGAAATAAAATACCAACTATCAGCAATGATCCAAGAAGCAGCAGGCTGGCCCAGGAGATGACTTAGCAGGTAAGAAGTATGGACCACAAAGTTCACACCCCACAGACATCAACAGTAATAATAACTTTTTAAAAAGAAGCAACAGGAAAAGAGCAACAGGCAATGTAAACAGCTCTATTATTAATTTGGAATATAGAAAATGTAATAATCTTCCCACAGAGGGAACTACAGGCCCAGACAATTTCACTAGATATTATATCAGATATTAAATTGGAAAAGACAGAGTCTCTCTGTGTGCATATCTCTCTATGTCCGTGTGTGTGTGAGTGTGTGCACATGTGTACAGGCGCACGAGTGTGTGCAGGTACACACACCACAACTGTAGTAGTATTTCTTTCAGGGATTATGAATCACAAAACTATGATTTTTTTGGGGGGCTCTCAGCTTTGAAAATAGTTTATTTGGTTACAGAAATCTGGGTTGAAAATCGCTTTTCTTTACATTCTGAAGATGTCATTTTATCCTCTACTAATTGTGATTGAAGCTGAGAAGGCTTCACTTTTGTTCTTCTGTTATTTTTTTAAGGTTTATTTTTTTATTTTAGGTACTTGTGTGTTTTGTCTGCAAGCATGTGTGTGCACCGCATGCACACATGTCCTGCCTACAGGGGCCAAAAGAAGGTATTGAATGCCTTAGAACTGTAGCGTGAATTCTAATTGGTATTAATAATAAAAACCCGGAGTCAGATATAAGGGTTAGTGCAGTCAGCTACTAGAGAGACCTTTCACCTCTACCAATGCTCAGACTGATGGGGCCATCCTGTCCTCAGACCGCATCTGCAGACTACTTCTGTCTCCACCAAACCTCAAACCACCCCTGAGCTTCTGTCTCCTCCTGCCTTATATTCCTCTCTCCACCCAGCCACATCGCTCCCGTCTCCACTTCCCTAGTGCTGGAATCACCTTTGTGTGAGCTCTGTTTCTCTTTTAGACAGATTCGGCCTAGTGTAACCTAGGGTGGCCTTGAACTAACAGAAATTCCTCTGCCTCTCCCTGAGTCCTAAGATTAAAGGTATGTGCCACCATTCCCTGGCCTCTAGTGGCTTAGCTCTGCACTCTGATCTTCAGGTAAGCTTTATTTTTTTTTTAACACAAATAAAATATCACTACATAGAACCTGAGTTACTGACAGTTGTAAGCCACTTTGTGGGTTCTGGGAACTGAACCTGGATCCTCTACAAGAGCAACAAGTGTTCTTTTCTTACCCAGTGGCCATCTCTTCAGTTACTGGTTTTGTATTTTGAGATAGGATCTCACTGTTGTAGCTCTGGCTGGCTTGGAACCCACTGTGCAGACCAGCCTGGCCTCAAACTCATTGAGATCTGCCTGCCTCTGTCTTTCAAGTACTGGAATAAAAAGCGTGCATCACCACACCTGGCCAATTGTCACTTTTTAAATGTACAGAAGTTTAATCTTCTCTCTCCTTTAAAGATCTCTGTTCTTTATGCCCAGTAGTGGTGGTACACGCCTTTAATCCCAGCACTTGGGAGGCAGAGAAAAGTAGATATTTTGTGAGTCTGAGGCCAGCCTGGTCTACAGAGCCAGTTCCAGGACACCTAGGGCTACAAGGAGAAACCCTGACTTGGGTTTTTTTTTTTTTTTTGTCTTTGATTTTTCCACAATTTTGCTTTGGTGTGTCTATTTGTCTTATAAATCGTTTCCCCTGCTCAGGACTAGATGTCTTAGTTTGTGTTTCTTTTGCTGTGAAGAGATACCGTGACCGCAGCAACTCTTATAAAGGAAAATATTTAATTGAGGTGGCGGCTTTACAGTTTCAGAGGTTCAGTCCTTTATCACTCATCGTGACAGGGAGCATGGCAGCGAGCAGGTTGATATGGTGCTGGAGTAGTTGAGAGTCCTACAACTTGCAGAGAACAGGAAACCAATGGAGACACTGGGAGGTTTTCTGAGCATAGAAAACCTCAACACCCCCCACTCCACAGTGACTCACTTTCTCCTACAAGGCCATCCCTGCGCCAGCAAAGTCACACTCCTAATGGTGCCACTCCCAATAAGATTATGGGGCCAATTGCATTCAAACTACCACACTGGTCTTGCTTCCTCAATTCAAACATTTTTACTGTTTTTGATTTTTAATTCAGAGACATCCTTAGCCACTGTTTTTCTTTCTTCACCCACCTATCTTCATTTTAAAATGTAGATATTGATCCTGATTGCTTTGGTCACTGGATTAGCCTCTCACGTGTTTCAGGTTTTATCTCCTTGCTCTGCCTGACTTCCTTAGGACTCCCAACACAGAAATGCTTCGGGTGAGTCCCCCTTTTTTTTTTTTTTTTTTCAAGTTAGTCTCTCTCCTTTTCCTCCTCCTGTTTTCTTTCTTTCTCTCATGCTTTCTTTAGACAGCATCTTGTCATATAGCCTAGAAGGGCCTCCAACTCATAGCTCTTTTGCCTTTTTCTCCCAAGGGCTGAGGTTATAGGCACCCCACCCCCACCCCGCCGCTGTTCTCTCTTCCTGCTTTATTCTATTTTTATGGGTTACAGTTCTTCTTCCTATGATTATTTTTCCTATAATCACAGATTTTGGAAGAGGAACATATTGATATTTATTTGCTGCTCTTTGTTTTCATGGTTATTATGAATTTTAATTATATATATATTTTTTAACTAAACAGTACTACTCCTATTGTAAAATCTGCGTGTAGACTCTGACCTCTAACATTGTTCCGAAGAGTTATTAACTATTGAAAAATCTAAACATCTCAGCCCAGCCTGAAGGTGTAACTCAGCGGTGGAACGCTTGCTTAGCATACACAAGGCCCTAGGTTCGATCTCCAGCAAAAACTGCAGTTCTGAAATATCAGCTTGCCTGAGCCCTACAGAACATACCATATTACACAAATGTAACTCCCATATTATTTAGAAAGAAAATTGATACAGGGTCTCATTAGGTAGCCCTGATTGGCCTGGAACCCACTGTGTAAACCAGGCTGACTTTGAACTCACAGAGGTCCACCTGCCTTTGGACTCTGAATGCCGCTGAGACTGAAGAAGTATTCCACCATACCCTTCCATTTTGTCTTAACTGAATAATAATCACACTACAGCTTGATTTAATTTGTTTAGTTTTTGTTATTATTGCTTTATGAGACATGGTTCACTACATATACTTAATTAGCCTTGCTACAGGGACCCGGTAACCTGAATTTGTGACAAGCCTCCTTCCTCTGCCTAATCAAGAAGTGCTGGTATCACAGGTGAGGGCCGCCATGTCCAGCTTTAGTTTTATTTAGATAAGTTTAATATACATTTGTAAATTAAAATATATTGTGAAGGAGAACATGAAGGTCATTTTTAAGATAGCTAGGATGCCAAATAGGCATGTTTCTGCAGGAATCCAAACACGTTAATAATTATAAATCAAAGGCAAAGGAAGAAAGCGATGCAAAGTGGGCCTCCGGATAGGCTTTCGACTATGCGTGCTTACCTTGTTCCTCCAGACAAACAGTTTAAAAATGACAGAGTTTGGTGACGACAGCCACTGGCTACTGTAAGGGTCAATCTTGGTTGCCAACTTGACTGGATCCAGAATCAATTAAGTGATAAGCACTTACCTTATCACTTAGGGCATACCTGTACGGATTTCCTGGATCCTGTTATTTGAAGTGGGAAGACCCATCCTTAAATACAGATCGCATACCTTCCAGAGGCAGCCAGAAACAGATGTATGAAGAAAAAAATCTTTGCTTTATACTTGCTAGTCATCCTGTTGCCTCTCTGCCGCTGCTGGAGTCATTCTTCACTGACCTTGGAACCCAGCTTCTTTCAGGCTTCCCACAGGAGCTGGAGCCAGTGGCTCTCCAGGAATCCCCTCTAGAGCCAAGACTCGAGGCCTTGGGTGCCAGTGTGACAACTGAGGTGCCCAGCCTGATCGGCTGAGCAGCCACCAGATTGGCAGCCTCTTCAGTGTGAAGACAGCCACAGTTGATATCCAGGCTGTACTGTAAGCCAACCTAATAAACCCCCCTTAAATGTCTACTCACCCTGTTAGATGATGTTCCTCGCTAAAGCCGTTATATTCTCTAGAGGTAATTTGGCAGGCTCTAGAAGCTACTTTTATGCAAAAACCAGCAGCCAGAGATATCACAAAACCCAGAGAACATTGATGCCAACGCTCACCTTCGTGCTACATTCCTGGGGTGAACTCCTTCTCTAAAAATCTCCATTTTTTTTTTCCACACAGGGTCTCCCTATGTAGCCCCAGCCTCAACCTCCCTATGTAGATCAAGGTGGCCTCAAACTTTGGGAGATCCTCATGCCTCTGTCTCCTGAGCACTGGGTTTATAGGTCTGGGCTACCACATGTGACATCCAAAATCCTCCTTAATAAACTCTTAACACCAGACGTGTGTCACAGTACACGTGTGGAAGTCAGGTCTGGGCTAGGCAATTCAACTCACATCGCCACACTTGCTCAGCAAGCCTTTTCCCATCTAAGCCATCTGGCCAGCCCTGTTATTTCTCTCCCCCCCTCCCATTTATTCTATTTTGGGGTATGCATGTCTATCCTAGAACGCACGTCAGAGGTAAACTTATGGAATCCCCCCTCCCCCCCCCCCCCATTCCCCATGTGGATCCCAGGAATCAAACTGGAATTAGCAGACTTGATGGCAGGTGTCTTGACCAGCTGATCTGGCTTGCCAGGACGTTCATGAGCGACTTCCAAATGGCTGGCTGGGAGCCTGGCACGTAATTCTGTGGTAGATCATCTGTCTGGTGTGAAAAGTCCTGAGTTCAATCTCATCACGACAACAGTCCCTCTACTCAAAACCCCCAACTGACTAGTGACGGCATGGGAGGGTCATGGATCCTGCTGTCTTAGCAGCAACGCCTACCACGAAGGAGCGTGCCGCAGACCGTAGTGTCTGCCTTCACTTCAGAGGTCACTTATCGGGGCCGTGGGAAGCCTGGATTCCCATCTGCACCTGGCCTCCCGTGCAGATAACCAATGCCGCCTCAAGGCTATCCATCTGGCAACCGCAACAGTTTCCAAGTCTAACAAAAACAAACTCTTTAAAAGAGAGAGAGTTCTTAGAACAAGGGCACTCAAGGGGTCATTTCTGTTTCTGACTGTGAGCACTTCAGCTAGAAGAAACCACGCAGGACTAACAGGACAGAGGACCCATTTCAGTCCAGTAAAGTTTCATGGTAAAGTTTCATGGACGGTTATGATACCTGCTACTTTCCTTAACTTCCTTCCGTCTATCTTCCTCTCTCAATCGTCCTTTGAGAGAGTCAGTTTTTACAGTGGAACCATTGGGCTCTTTCTGAACTCAAGAAAAGGAGGCTTGTTATTCTATCACAGTTAATACTAAACCTTCTGTCTCTGTGTACAGTATATAAGAAATAGGCTTTTTTGTGTGTTTGGGAGTGGGTCGGCAGACAACTCTGAGTGAAAAAAAGAACAAGCCTACAGTTCTTCTGACTAGAGAATAAGAATTCCTTGGCTTACAATTTCTACTCTGCATTCAAAGGGAAGGACACACACCTTGTGGGTCTGAGCACTGAGTAGTCTCCTGCTGAGTGGATCCTGGAAAATCCTATTGGCCTCTTTAAGCTACAGTTTCTGCGCCTAGAAAACTGAAACAAACACTTGCCTGACGAGATAAGTCCTAGGAGTAAAGAAGTTCATCCGCACCTGCATTCGGCTCATGTCTCATGTGCCTGTGCTGTCCGGGAAGAGATGCTTCAGCAAGCTGGCAGTAAACTGAATCCTGGGTGTGGTACCAAATACGATAAATGTGCTACAGTGCCTATGGGACCGGGTGAAGGCTGACCGTGGGATCTGCTGTGAAGTAGAGCATGAAGTAGCGTACAGCTCCTGGAGCTTCCTCTAGCTGCTTGTTCCAGTGATGACGCTGCCCACTGCCCACTTGTGTGGCAGTAATCAGAGTCAATACTACTGCCAAAGTAATCCATGCAAGCCGGGCGATGGTGGCGCACGCCTTTAATCCCAGCACTCGGGAGGCAGAGGCGGGCGGATCTCTGTGTGTTCGACACCAGCCTGGTCTACAAGAGCTAGTTCCAGGACAGGCTCCAAAGCCACAGAGAAACCCTGTCTCAAAAAACCAAAAAAAAAAAAAAAAAAAAGTAATCCATGCAGGCCACATTATTTAAGTATCTATCCATCTATTTATTCATTCACTCATTCATTCATCTCTCTCTCTCTTTTCTCGCTCTGTGTCAGGTGCATGTGTGCCTGTGCACATGCACACACACACACACACACACACAGAAGCACACACTACAGCCTAGAGGACGACTTGCCAGAATCTGTCCATGTGGGTCCATGCGGGTCCCAGCGAAGGAACTCAAGTTCCTTGGTAACAGGTATCTTTATCCACTGAGCCAGCTCACTGGCACCAAAGTACCATTGTCCAATCTGACCGATGATGCTGTCTACCTGGGATGCTGCCGAACACGCATTCTCATGTGCTTCCCTCGGGAATTTTGACTTCCTAGATCCAGGGTGAGCTCCAGAAAGCTGTGTGCATATAACATCTTAAGTGGTTCCTATTTCAGGCAAGTTTAGGAAACGGTGATTAATCGCATGAGATTGGGGAAATGACTCATCTGCAATTAAGTAATAATGCTCTGGCTTAAGGAACAACGCCAAGTTATTTAAAAGCTATTGAACAATTATAGTCTCTACGCTGCCTTAAAAGCTAAATTAGCTGTTATTTCAATCAAGAGACTTGTTTCTCTTAAGATAGAATCATATATAAAAAAGTAAAGCCTTAAAATTTTGAACTGTATCGATTCCGTATTAATTTTAATAACACGTGTATATTAATTAGCATTTGCTTTGCTTTTTTTAGCTTTTGAAGAAAAATAAAGCCCCTTGTATTTGGGGTTTGGGTTTAATGGGTTTAATTTGGTATATTATCCAGTTATATGTGCCTCAGCTACAGGGAAACTTAACCAGAGGGAATTTAGTTATTCAGGGCTCTTCCAGTTCCCTCCTCAACTCACATAGCTACTAAAAAAGATAGGATTAGAGCCAGTCACTCATGGCACATGACGAGAAACCCAGGACGAGGACATCTCTTCAAAGGCATCAATTAAAGGTCATCCTCAGCTATATTGCAAGTTCAAGGCCAGGCTGGGCTACAAGAAACCCTGTTTCAAAAAAAAAAAAAAACCTGAATAGATGCCAAAAGTTATATTCTGTACAGAAGAAATTAAATTACCCACAGCTACTGAATGTTACTTAGACGATTTTGGCTTTGCAAAATTAATTTTACTAACGAATGCTCATTGCATTGTAACGTTCTCGTTGTAATGATTTCCTGTGCAATTACGATCAAAGGGAAGTTCCCTGGTGAAGGAAGGGGGAGAGGGTTAGGCAGCTAATTTGCATGAGTGAATGCTCTCCTTCAAAGAAACAAGTCCTTTGCCATGTCTAATCGCTACTCACAAACACCTGTGGAGCACGACTTCTTCCAGGGGTCTGCACTCCGTGAACTTCAGCCATCCTCGTGAGAAAAGTGCAGACCAAGGGGCCAGCCAGCCTGTCTTAGCTCTGTCTCTCTCTGCCCATTTGTTCTGCTAAGTTAAGGGAATAGAAGATGTTTGTTAAAACTCTTTTAAAGAAGAAGAAGAAGAGGAGGAGGAGGAGGGAGAGGAGGAGGAGGGAAGGAAGGAAGGAAGGAAGGAAGGAAGGAAGGAAGGAAGGAAGAAGCCATTTAAAGTGGGAGCAATATGGTTCACTGGGTAACGGTGTTTGTCTTATAAGCCTAGTAACTGAAGTTCAATTCCTGGAACCCCTTGCAAAGGGGAAAGGAGAGGACAGACCCCACAGAGCTGTCCTCTGCCTTCTACACCCCTCCTATGGCACAGAGCATGACCCCCACCTGCCCACATATGCACACCTTGTATCCATTTTTGGACTTTGAAGATATCCTTTTACCTTCTCTCATAAGCCTGAAACTGTTTGCCATAAAACTCAAGTGTGATGGGTGGGTGTGGGGTTCTAAGTCAAGAGCAAAGTAGAAGGCATAGAATGAGGCACAGAAACAGGAAATGGGGAAGACCTACCTGAAAAGACCAGGGAGGGGTGGGGCAGGGAATCATCGTGTGTACTATATAGCCCCAGATGGCCTGTAACAGGCTGAGTAGCCCAGGTTGATCTCAGCCTTGACTCCACTCCCTGCTTCTGTCTCCTTCATGCTGGGCTTGCACACTCTGCCACTGGAAAGCCTTTTGATGGAAGAACAAGGCAGTTAGTAAGACGGGCTCTGGTTTTCAAGTTTTCTGAGTTTCAGACTCCTTGTATGTAAAATGAAAGCAATCGTAGTGCTCACTTCTGAGGGCGTTTTTGAGGAATGATCATAACTGCTACAAATCCTAGACTCAGCACGTGGAAAGAGACAGACCAGTTGCTATCTCAGGCCCGGAGCAAGCACACTGTGCCCAGCAAGAGTGGGACACGGTATGCTGTGGGCGAATATTTCCAAATTAAATCGACAGGAACTGGAACCCTGGCAAAGGGTCAGAAAAACCCAAAGCATGGGAAGGAGTGACTGCATTGCTCAAGAAAACCCTAGGCCCTGTGCACCAAGTGGGCCAGGCAGGAAGCTGTGTGATTTGCTCATGATATCTGAGTTATTTTAGTCCTCATTGGCAGATGCGGAAATGATGGACGATGTTGACCTCTGCCGCCCAGAAGATCGTTCACTGGGAGCCCATGCTGTCAGTACCACCGAAGAAACCGGTCAGTGATGCCCAGAAGTTGCATCGGTAGCCTTATCATTCCCTCTGCTGTAAGGCATTTACCAAGCAAGAGAAACGCCATTAGCACACTAAAGACCTTCCCCTTCCATGCAAAGAAGCTCGGTTCCCTTTGCTAAGCTGCTTTTCTCCCAGCTCTGCCTGAATGTGGCTTCGCTGTAGCTGGCACTCAATGTTCCACGTTTTCTCTGCATTGCTTCCTGTTGCTTCTTGTAAGTCACCCTCGGAAGGGCCTCCCCTCCCGCAGGAAGAGCGCAAAGAGCTTGGCACAGGAGACTCCACATTAAATCAGGATTTCTTTCTAGTCCTGTTTCAGCTGTTGGTTCTGATTGGGCTTCAAGTTCATTCCCAATCATCGCTTGGCCCTGGCTGGGGCCCTACTTACTTATGATGGCAGCGTCTTAGAAAAAGCGAGGTTCATTTGCAATCCAAAGAAGCACACTCTCTTGCCAAGGCATCCTTTATCCTCTCTGCCATTCTACATCCTCGACCTGTTGCCACTTAAGGTCCTGGTATCATCACCAACCTATGACTTTTTCCAATCTGGAAAAGCATGTCTGACCTCCCATTTACCAAAGTTCTCACCCTGCAGTTCTGCCCCGTTAACATCCCTTTCTTACCTTCTCGTGTGCGGGAGGCCACCCTGCCTTGATCTAAATTGTGGCTATAGCTTCATGTTCTGACTCTCTTCTCGGGAACATTCCAGATGGAGGCTCGAGAACATCGCATCAGTTCACCTTGCAATCACACCCACTGCTTCTCTCAGTTCCTGGGAAGGCCTCGCATTAACTGCTGTCTCCTCACCACGGTGCGACAGTGTGCTTAGCAAGTCTGCAGGCTTCTGCTCGCCACGCCCTTCACGCATGGCTGCTTTTGTAAGGCCTTCTTTTCTCCTCTTACCTTTCTGAATGTAAAGCAATCTGTTAAGTCGCATTATCCTTAAGCGCACTGTTGTTGGGGGTGCTGTACGTGCGTGCGTGTGTGCGTGTGCACGTGCACGCGTGCGCGCACACATGCCCGTGTTTCATCTCTCCAAGGAGCTTATAGATGGCGGCTATAGACACCACTCATTTCACAGTGTGATTCATATTCCATCTGCCCTTGAATCATCTGGACGGCTCCATGATGATTCCCTCACTCGCATGAATCAGAATTTCAATGGTGAGCCCACATTGCACATTACGGGGCCGCTCGGGGTTCTTACACATACAGACTTGGGGACACGAAGCAAAGGAGTGGAATGGTAACATTTTTTTAATACCACACTTACTTCTGGCTCTGCAGTCCTGGGACTGGCCCAGAGAAGATTAGCATGAGTTGCTTCTTGGATAAGAAACAAACATAGCTTTAAACAGAAAGCCAGTCAGGGGAAATCTGTCCTATTTTATGGAAGTGTTCGCAGTTTTTGCTAAATGCGTGTGTTACCAACTTCAGTTACTACAGTGCACACTCCCTCTGGAAGTCAAAGTCCTTATGTCTCTCTTTTTGTTGAGACAGGGTTTCTCTGTAGCTTTGGAGCCTCTCCTGGAACTAGCTCTAGTAGACCAGGCTGGCCTTGAACTCACAGAGACCACCTGCCTCTGCCTCCCGAGTACTAAAATTAAAGGCGTGCGCCACCACTGCCCTGCACTTTTTCCTCGTGTCTCTTTTGCACTGCACTTTTTTCTGATATAATGTAATTTTAATTCACCTTGCTTGTGATGAAATTAAAAAACTCCTTATTTCAGCTTAGACCTCCTTATGTAAGCTGGACATTTCTGGTTATAATCAAAAATAATGCTAAAATGATATCATAATAGCCCAGTAAATACTGTTATGGGGCTATTAAAACTTTTAATATCCTAAGCTACAGACAACTTGACAAACATTTATAGCCCTTGCACATACAGATAACAGGAATATTAATATTTTGATTTTTTTTTCAGTATCAAGAATGAAACCTAGGGTCTTATACAAACTCTTCCTAACCCTGAGTGACATTTCCACCCAAATATTTTTATTCCCTCATTCAGTTATATCTGAAGATTCTTTCTGCTCGCTATTCCTGACTCACTTAAGGCTGAGTGGCCCCCAGATACTCGGTATAAGCTTCAATCAGCACTCGTACACCTAAGAAGTAGCAGGGCCAAGACTTAAAGTAACGATTATTTGTGGTGGTAGACTTGAGAACATGGGTGCCCAGAACTAGCCTTGGGGTTTCATTAGCAAGAAGAGAAATGTCTTCACGCTGCTATTTAATAATCCAATTTAAAAAATTAGACATAAGCAAACGTGGGGAACTGAGGAAGCCCGGGGTGTGTGAGGTCGCGAGTGAACCTGTGTTGTTGACACGGTCACAGTCACATCAAGGACTCCAAAGGCACAGCTTTCCTCTGGTCCATGTGTGGGAGTTGATAGTATCTGCAGAAAGTGTCCACCATAGCTTTCTTCCCTGGATATTTCTAGCCTGAATTTCTTCCCTACGTAGCCTCTTCTTACTGACTTTAGCTAAACCTGTGTCCTTGATCCAGCTCTACACCAGAAACCCTACCTTCCTTGTTTATTTGCAGGTAATAATCTCGACCCCTTGTTCAGTCATAGGCAGTAACTCTGCCTCCCTAACTCTATATAAGCACACTGAGCTTCCCTGGGGCTGCGGGGGCCTATAGGTCACCAAGCCTCGCTTTCTTCTGTGCATCTGTCTGTCTGTCATTCATTCTTTCTCTCACAGGCCCGAGTCAGGAGGGTCCCTGAAGCCGTTCTTGGACTCAGCAAGCAGGCTTCCTGACAATGCTACTATGACCCTTGTTGGATTTAATACATACATGATAGCTACACACAGTGTGTTTGCCTGCAGGTGTCATGGTTTCCAGTTCTCAAAACTCAAGAGCCACCAAGGGGGCCCTAGCCTGTCCTTCCTGCCGCCGTCTCTAAATCCAGTAGACACAGAGGAGAATAGCCTGTAGGAGGAATTAAATAGAAAGCTTAGCCCTTAATAACACAGGGCTGAGCAACCTGTTTGTTTGTTTTTTTTTTTTTTTCTCTGTTGGAATGAAATCTTGAAAAGGAAATATAAATAAATAAGTCAGATAACATCAGGGCTGCTTTCCTGAATCTAAGATAAGGAAGGAACTGTTTCCCTAACCTCTTCGAGCATAATTAAAGCTCTTTGACCGGAACTGAAGGCTTACAAGAGCTGACGTCAGGGCTGCTATTTCCTTGGTGGAGAGTGGAAATGGACCTATCTCTGGGGGTTGAACCAGCGCAGCGAAGCTGTTGGGAACTGGGATGTGGCGATCACCTGAGATGTTCCTGTGTGCGATTATACTTGACCGAGGTAGAATTCAGACCCATCTCCTGTCAAAGGAGGGAAATGGGCCACATTGACTAATTAGAGTTCACACAGACACACAGTGACTCAGCCTGGCTGCTTGTCTACTCAGAAGCCTTTTAAGTGTGCAACAGCAATCAGAGGCACGTGCTGGAAATTCAGATTTCTCTGTTAGTGATGTGAGCCTCAGCCTTGCTTGGTCGACCTCTCTCGTTGTCTCTTGTATAGTGCTTTTTATAGAATGACAGGTAGGCTTTTCTTCTTTTCTCTTTCTTTTTTTTGGGGGTTGGTAGTGGTGGGTCAAGATCTCTGGAACTCCAGGGTGGCCTCAGATTTGCTCTGGTGTCAAGGACAGCCCTTAACTTCTGATCCTCTTGCCTCCAACATACAATTGCTGGGAATACAGGAACACGCCAACATATCCAGTTTAAATGAGTTTATACTCGGACTTTTTCATCAGGGCCATCAACTCCCCAATAATGACATGGAGACTTAGTATTAATTATGAAAGTTTGGCTGATAGCTCAGGCTTGTTTCTAACTAGCTCTTATCACTTAAATTAACGCATGTCATTTAATCTATTTTCTTTTACATGGCACGGTCACTTTCACTTTATAATGTCCATGCTGCTTGCTCTCTAACCCTGGTGTCTGCCCTTCTTCTTCCCAGTGTCCTCTCTGCCTAGCTATTGGCTATTCAGCCTTTTATTAAACCAACCCAAGTGACACGTCTTCACAGTGTAATTTGTTTTTATGTGTATACGTGTTTGTATGCTTGTATGTCTGTATCACGTGTGTGCCTGGTTCCTGAAGAGGCCAGAAGACGGAGTCTGATCTCCTGGGACAATTGTAAACCGCTCTGTAAGTGTTGAGAATTAAACTAGGGTCCTCTGGGAGAGCAGCCAGTGCTCTTAACCACTAAGTCACCTCTCCATCCTCAAAATGGCAGTTTTTACAAAAGCACAGAATTTATCTTTCAACCAGGGAACTCAACAGAACTCTAATTAAAAAAAAAAAAAAAAAAAAAACAGCAAACCTGCTCTATTTGCTGCTGGCAATTGTCCAGGCTTTAGAGCGCTCTCTTGTCTTTAAGGTCACATGCAAACTGATGTTGTCATCCTCATCCCCTCAGCTGACAAGAGGCTGTCGTGAGCTGTCATCCCTGGACTCCATTCTCTGCATGCCCCAAGACTGTTTCTCACATCTCTAGTTTCTTCATTTCCTTGTGGTGTAAGGGATCCAAAAGGAGCGGATGACTTTTCAGACCTCTCCCTAATAGGGCTTCCTAGTTAGGATTCTAATTGACAGGGATCTGTGGGGGGTCCACTTCTTCTAACGCCTGTTGGCCACCAGTCCACAAGGACAAGGGGTGGAAGCATGACAGAGAGCTTTGTTTGGCCTGGGAACACAATGGAGATAGCTCTCCCAGAGACAGCTTTGGTGAATCTGTTCAACTGTATTCCAGAGTATGGGGACTATAAAGAAAGGATTAGGAACGGTAGCCAGGAAAATTACCTACTTTGCATTAAACAGCGTGCTCTTGTCATAACACCTAGTACAAGTGTTAGTTATCAACTGTGGAAGCACCGTCCTCTTCTAATATTCCTAGAAAATGTCCAATTACCATATGGGCAGCAGGTGGAAAGTTTCTGCAGGGAACGGCGTCCAGGGTCA